CCAGAGCCTGCCATTTCTTACTGCGTCACAGTTAGGGATTTCCTACAGAGCCTCATCTCTCAACAGAGCACACAGACACAGGACAGACAGTCCCAAAGCCTGCAGGGTCTGTAGCTGCTTCTAGCTGCAAGCTATTGTGTTCCTCATGGACTCTGCAAAGAGGTGGAAGGAAAGAGGACAGGAAGCTTGTATTTCCAACCAGGATGGCTTCTGCCACTTTCTTTAGGCCTTTATCACTTTACAGCACAAATGTCAGTTAAGCATCACAGGTTAAAAATTCAATGGCTGGAAACCAAATAAGCACTTCTAAAGAAGCTAGGGCCCAGTGGCGGAGGGCAGTCCTGACTGGTGCAGTGTCAGGTTGAGGTTATTCTGCTGGCTCCCTTTCCCAAATCCTGACATCTAGTAGAGTGAGTACTCGAAGAGCCACTGCTCAGTCGATGTCAACGTCACAGTGAAGTAAACAAACAAACAGGAAGAGAATGGAACCTCACCATTCAATACTCCAGTTCAGCACAGAGCCTGTGGATAGACAAGGCACCAGCCACAGGCAGTAATTCATCCTACCTCCTGGTCCAGCTGGCCTGTTTGACAGCTATGTAGGAAACAGAGGGTTCCTTTTGTCTTTAATTCCGTGACCCCAGCATATGTTTCCCCTAGGTCCTATTTTGATAAAATCACCCCCTCTCTGCACTGCAAACACGGGCTGCCCTCAATATCCAAGAGCTGAAAGAACAGCAACCCTCATGTCCCTACACAGTACAGCTTTCATCACCACGTGTTCCTGCTGTAAGGAGACCATCCAAGGAGGGGGTTTGATCGAGTCAGAATAAACAAACCAAATAGAATGGATTAAAGCACTATTCAAATTTACCTCCCCTACCTGTCCTCAAAATGTACCCAGTACAAGATTAGCAAAACACAGAGATCATAATGGCCAAACCATGGCTAACATGAAGACGATTTCAGATTTAACTAAGGTAGATCAAACACACACGCATGCACGCACGCACGCACACAGAGAAAGACCGTAGTGAAAATCACCTTTCTCCTGAAGTCCATAAGGCATATGGGAATGCAACATGAAGACTTAAACCATGAAATCTGAGGTTTTAGAGGTAACACAGGCAAGATCGGGCACACCTGTGAAAGCCTGAGCTCTCGCTTAAGATCTGCAGTCTCTGCACCTAATGGTAACTACAGTCCTGATGACGTTGCAAACTCTGGGAAGGGATAAGAGCACTTTCTAGATACCCAACAATGGTTAAATGACACAAAGGACAGAAGTTAAAGACCTCTTTCTATGCTTGTTGTCACCATAACATAGTGAATGGCACGTTATTGCCACCTCTGAAGAACTACTCCCTACTGTTCCCAGGATTTAAAACTCATGTGAACAATAAGTAAATACAGCATGGCCAGATGCCGTCTATGGTCAGCTGGTTCATTGTTTTAAAAGCTCCAGTCTAAAGCCCAAAGATTGTTAACAGATGCAGTTTCTGGCTAGAGACTGGGAAAAACCTCATTTAAACAAAGGATATGTTGTGATTGGAGCTAAAAAGGGAATTACCTCTAAAGATAAGAACCACAAACATTTCCTATTTGAAAATACCCCCAACTCCACCAACAGGCCTCTTTTTGGACCTTTCATGAACATTTAAGAATTGGACAGTGGATTGCTGTGTATGTAAACCAGGATGGGGCAGCCAGTGCAGCAACTGTGAGAGCAGCAAGGCCACAACATCCATCTCTGACTCTCTGACAATCAATCAGGCACGGTTCCAATTCATTTCTTTCTAGCATCTTCACCCCAGGAATACTTCCACTGCTTGCATGTTGGCTTTGGAAATAAGTTTTCAACCAGAAACTCAGATAGATGCTTGCTAAATCACAGTTGATAAGCAGAGGAGCCACTGCTGGGATTCCAGTTCTGCTGGAGGACAGAAGGCAGCTGGCTGAGCAGTCCTTGGCCCTGCGCTCTCTTCTAGCCTTGCTTGAATCTATGACTTGTTTGCTTTTGCACAGAGAGCCCACTTTTCATAGCTCCCATAGCTGTTTCTGCCAGCTGCCATAGGCCCTTACCCTGTGTCTTCACTATGTGGGAGAAGGCCTATGCTGCCCTGGGTTCTCATCCTGAAAGATGGAGATCTGAAGGAGCCATACATGTAGCTTACCCTCAGTCTGAGAAATGGATGTGGTTTGGCTTAGTGGTGATAAGCCTGAACTGGAAAAGCCTACGTTTCAGGGGAAATAATGTGCTTTACAGTGAGAAATGAAGTCCATGGAGCCCATTCTAAGAGACATCACAAGAGATGAGGCAAACAGCATATGCTTTTGCTGCTTAGGTTTTTATGTCATTATATGTTTCTTGATTTATTGCAGCATCCAAAATCTCCAGGTTTAGGCCACAGGCATAACATAGTTTTAACAACGTGAGACATTCTAGTCAAGAAAACCTGTAGTCCAGAGGCTGCAAAGATGGCTCAGTTAGTAAAGTGCCTGACTCACAAGCCCAAGGTCCAGAATTTAGATCCTTAGTACCCACATAAAAGCAAAATATGGCAGCTTGTGCCCAGAATCCCAGTACTGGGGATCCCTGGCCTTGCTGGCCTACTAGGCTAACAGAATCAGCAAGCTCTGGGTTTAGAGACAGACCTTCTCTCAGAAAATGAGATGAAGAGTGACTGAGAACAAACTAGATGTTGACCCTGACACACACACACACACACACACACACACACACACACACACACACACACACATATACTCCACAAAAATCTGTAGTTGATCCATGCAACCATTCATTTTAAAGTAAGCCAGACCTATAAGCCTAGGGGAGTCTCCAAAGCTATGTCAGTGCTTCTGGACAGGAGACAGAAGTGAATGTGAAAACCTGTGCAAGGTATCCAGGCTTGAGCAAGAAGGGCCCATCCTCCATCCTGTACATAACAGGATTCCAGGATTCCACAGTCAGTGGCCACATTCATATCCAAGCTCCCATGAAAGGCCAAACACACACACACACACACACACTCCACAAAAATCTGTAGTTGATCCATGCAACCATTCATTTTAAAGTAAGCCAGACCTATAAGCCTAGGGGAGTCTCCAAAGCTATGTCAGTGCTTCTGGACAGGAGACAGAAGTGAATGTGAAAACCTGTGCAATGTATCCAGGCTTGAGCAAGAAGGGCCCATCTTCCATCCTGTACATAACAGGATTCCAGGATTCCACAGTTAGTGGCCACATTCATATCCAAGCTCCCATGAAAGGCCAAACACACACACACACACACACACACACACGCACGCACGCACGCACGCACGCACGCTGAAGCCTGTAGAGGGCTCCTATAAGGCTGGAAATTGAAAAATGAACAGAAGCTGTGAGCCTGAGGTCATTACTATATTTTAGTGATTGCCTTCTCTAGTGTAGGGGGCAGTAGTTTCCAAGATTAACTTTTAATTGTTGTCAAGGATGTAATAAAATATGAGAAAGAAGAAACCTTTTCCCCAGTAAGCTGCTCCCATTTGCATTTCCTCTCTCATCCTCTGGGACATATCTTCAAACCCTGACCTGCAATGTTTCATAATTTAGAGGGAAAAAATATGTACTAGGATTAATCAAATAGACCATACCCTCTGTGTACAGTGAGATGGCTTAAGCCTGATAATGGGGACTTTGATCTCTGGGTCGCACATGGTGGAAGGAGAGTACTGACTCCCTCAAGATGTTCTCATACTGCCACATGTGTGCCATGGCATGCACCCAAACACAATAAACAAATTATTAACAACAAGTAAGTAATTGAAGAAAAAAGATGGCCACATAATTCATCAGAGCAGGCATGAACACATCTTATTTTCATTTTAAAATTTCTTTGAATGATATATGCTGCTTTGAGCTATGAAAGTCCTTTCAACACAAGACAATTTTCTGGTTGGTAAGACACTACCAACATGAAGGAGCAGAAGGAGGTACACTGATTGACAAGGACACTGAGCTACTGAAGGATGATGACTTTAGGATTATAATCTGGGTTGATCTGATGATGGCTTCAGGATGATCCTGAGATGTTAGAGCTCAACAGATCTTTCAACAAAGGCCACCAAAGAGAAATATGACACACCATTTACCTGTTTCAACTGCATAGGTGGAAAACTTGCTGAGTCCCTCGGTCAAGAGTGCCCAGTGCCATGGATAGCTAGAAAGGTTTTTTGGTAGTTTCATTGACCCCAGTGTCATTCGCCCCATCTTCTGAGATGGCATAGTACTGGCTTTTATTTGCAAATGGCTGCCCAGAATGAAGGTACAGTCATTTCCTAACAGTGAGCCTTAAAGGGATGTGGAACTCTTGGAATGGGGGCCAGTGTGATGGATCAGTGGGTAAAACACTTACCAATGCCCTCACTTTAATCCCTAGGACCCACTGTAGGTCATGCACTGTGACACACACACACACACACACACACACACACACACACACACACACACACTAAAATAATGATCATAAATCACTAACATCTGTCCCTAAAAGTAAGAGTGGAGAGGTATAGAGTACATTCTTTTAGCCTCGTTTCTCATTCTTTCCTCTGGAATGTGAAATGGCTGAAGAGCAAGTTGAACTATGGGGGCAATGAAGCCACACTATAGCGGCAAAAAAATGTAATGTTTTACTATGACACTCACTCTAGTCTACCTGGATACAAACTGCTACAAAGGAGCAGCGGAGATGCTTCTATCGCATGCAATCCTTTGTTATTTTAGGTCTCAGTTATACACAATTATGAATTACAGTAACAGGTGCAGGAGCCCAGTGACCCACTCATAAAAATAACATCCGAGGAGTAGCATTTTACTGTAAGTAGCCACAAGGCCACACTCAACATGACATGTTCAAACTGGTTTCCACCTCACAAAGACCTTTCTGAGTCCTGCTGAGAGCAGAGGAAATGAAGTGATATTCTTGTAGTTAATTGTGATCACAATAAGTATCTTACCTTTTTCTTGCTACAGTATATCTGCCACTTTTTCTCTGCTGGAAGTGCAAACATGGCTTCTCTGTGTTTGTCTGTGAGGTCAAGTTCATCCTGAGAAGGAAAGAAAATACTTAGTATTGCAGACACTGATGTTGTTCCAATAGAGAGCACTGCCACTATCAACAAGGAGAAAAGCAACTCACCAACACATACTTAAAAAAAAGATGGGAGCTACTTCACAATGTGTTTTACAACTACTAATGCAGCATCTCCTGGCATAGGGCCAGACAGCAGCACAGCAAGGTGGACAAAGCATAGCACGACAGGTTTCAGTGAAGCGGCTAGGTCAGACCTTTACTGTTGCTGGTGCTATATATGATCCATTTAGCTGTACTGAGCCATAGAAATTCAGGGTTAATCACATTAAAGATGGGAGTTTGTGGCTAACAACCTTCCAGACAAAACATCAATGATCAAAAATGGACTCTTGGGCTGAGCACTGGATGACTTAGACAGGACAGGAATGAAAATGTACCAGACACTCAATACCAACATTAACACCAACTACAGACAGAGTTCTGACTAAATGCCAAGGTTTTTTTCTCTAAGTACTCCATAGCCATTATCCAAAAGTGGATTTGTGGATGACCTGCTGTAATTTAGATTCTGAATGTCCCCCATAGGTCTCTGTATTAGAGATCTGTTCCCCAGGGTGACACTACTGGAAGCTAATGAAACCCTTTGAAGGTACAGACAAGAAGGAAGATGACCACAAGTCATTGGGGCATACCCCCAATGGGGATTGAGGGATCCTGTCCATTTCCTCTCTCTGTCTCCTGGCCATAATGTGAATGGTTTTGTTTTGCTGTTTGTTCCCTTTATAATAACACAGTCTTGATCCAGGCCCACAACACTGATGCCAAGGATCGTGAAATAGAAACTCCCAAACTGTGGAGTAGCATAAACCTTTTCTTTTTACAGGTTCATTATCTTAGATGCTTTTGTTATAGTGACAAAAACTGACTAAGGCAGAAACAGAATTCAAGGGCTGGGTTTGTGTAATAGATTTGGGACCATAGCCAGCTAAGGAGAAATACTGAGCTACACATCACGGTAGCTATATACATCACGATATGGAAAGTAAAGCATGGCCACTTTGCAGAAGGCCTCAAATGCCAGCCTAAGGAGCTTATTTATTATTATTACTATTATTATTATTATTTTTGCTTGCATGCATGTCTGTGCACCACATGCATGCCTGGTGTCCATGGAGTCAGAGAGGGTGTCAGCTCCCCTGGAGCTAGAGTTATAGACCGTTGTGAGTTGACACATGGGAGCTGGGAATTGAACCCAGACCCTCTGGAAGAGTAGCCAGTGGTTTTAACCACTGAGACATCATTCCAGACCTGGGAATTTTTTGTCTATTTTTTTAATAACATAAGTCAATGAAGTTTTTTGTGTATGTGCCTGATACCATCACCATAAATTTCAACTAATATTTCCTAAGGATTTTATGTGCAGGCAGGCATTTCCTATTTAGTTATCACAATGAACCTAAAGAGAGCCACTCATTATTACATCTCCTTATGATAACAGTCTCCATTGTAAGAGAGCCCGGGAACTTGGGGTGAAGATTAGGCAAGGCACTTCCTCTAGCCTACACACCTGCTGAACAAAGCAGCTAGATTTTAAGCCCAGAGATGTGTGACTCTAGAGTTCAGACTCTTAGCTTCTTAGACCAGTGCTTAGAAAGATTAAGCCTGGAGTGGTGGGAAGCTTGGGAAGTCAATGTTCAGACATTCATAACTAATGAATAACAGCAAGGAGATAATAAACATGGAGTGCTTAGAGGAAACATCTTGGCACTTAGTAACTCCATCTGTAGTTAATGTGATTATTGGTATTGAGTGCCTGGTTCATTTTCATTCCCACAGGGAATGTTATCTAGTTGAGAACAGTAAATGGCTGTGTGTGGGTAAAAGATAAAAGCTATGAATTAATAAGGTTCAATGAGGTTCTGATCTCTGAAGACAAGTTGCCCTCCTGAATGGCTTGTATGTGTATCTGCTCTCAGTCACACTTGGGGACATAGAGGAGCAGGCCATTGGCTTTCTATCTTCCATCTTACACTCCTACGACTACTTAGTCATCAAGTTCCATTATCTTCCTTGCAATGATTTTCCCTTTGTTTCATTCACAATGGAACCACCCAGACTTACTTATGTCCTATTAACCACTCCCAAGGCTTCTGGCACAGCCCCTCACTCTTCCTTGACACTCCAGTCATATCTACTCAGCACACCTAGACTTCTCTTCAATCATTTTTCCTTCAATGTTGAGTGAGCATCAGAATCACCGGGGGCTTCTGACCTCACTGACCACCAGTGTGCAGGTCATGGGGGAGGTCTGGTGTCTGCATTTCATTAAGTTTCCAGGATATTGCTTATGCTCTGATCTAGAAACCACACCTTGAAAATAAGCACTGTGCTGTTTCAGGCTCCCAATCCAGAACCTCCATTACTTCCATGATGCCTGAAAAATTAATTATTCATTTCTCAGCTAGCCTCTTGAAGTCTTCCATTTCTCCCACCAGGGTCCTTTCTAATTAATTCTTTGCTATTCCTATTAACACCAGTCCCTCCAGAGCCTAGCACAGGCTAGTTTCCCCCTTCTAATCCCATCAGGTCACTACTTCCTCTCCAGATCAGGCAGACCATTCTTCTTGCAAGGACTGGTAACAGCTATATATGCAGTAATGCCTGGCATAGGATGGCAACTGCACAGCTGTTGTTTCTCTCACTCAAACACAAATCAGTTGCCAGTTTAAGAATGCAGTAAACAGTTAAGTCACTAAACCATGTGTACACACACACACACACACACACACACACACACACAAAATCATACTCTAATCACAAGAAGCTAGTTGTTAATAAAGTCAACAATGAACAACCAGAGAAGGAATGAAGAACTTGTACAGAAAATTCCATTATGAGAGAGTATGTTTAAAATACTAAAATTCTGGCATGTAACGTGTTATATGGGAAGTAATTCTCTTCCTTCCTTTTTAAATTTCCTGTAAGTCACACCTGCTCTGAAAAACAGGGGAAACAAGGGTGACATAAATCACTTCTAACAATCAGCTCAGTTAATCAAACTGCTCAATAGTATCTATCTTAGTTTGGGAAGATGCTTTTGATTTGGGGAACAGCATTCTTTTGTTTTCTCTTTTTTATATTAATTTTTTTTTACATTCCAATCCCAGTTTCCCCATCCTCCTCTCCTCCTGCCCCCCCACTCCCATCTGGGAGCAGCATTCTTAATAACACACATTTACTACACTACAACATAGTTTTTCCTGAGTATATGTGTAAAGAAATGTGTGAATCCTTAAACCATGAAATCCACAGAAGTAGTATGCAGTTTTGCTGAGGTACATATATTACCTATTTTAAACTGTGGGAACACAGACAAGTGGGGGCAGACAGTCTGATGCCAAAAGAAAATATCCAGAGGGGGGCAAAAATTGCGTAGTGTTCCACATCAAATTTTGATCTACAATAAGGACATGGAAAAGGATAAATGCATTCTGACAGTAAGAGACAACAACTGTTTAACACTTTCCATGTGTCTATTAGTAACATTCTATGTGGATTAATTTTTTTAGCTCATACAGCATTCAAATAAGTGAGTATTATTGCTAACCCATTTTTCTAGTAAACTGGGTCACAGAATGACTAAGCACCTTGCCACAGGCACAGAGCTAGCAAACATTGGAGGTGGGACTAAGTGCAAACGGACTGCAGAGTCTGTGTTCTCTCAGGGTACCACTGCCTATCCCACAAACAAGTGGGTGACTCATGGCACAGAAATAAGCATGAAGAGGTACCCATCGAGTAGCTGTTAGAAGCAGGAGACAGGTTCTATTGGCAGCTGTCCCTGAATTGTAGGTCTGGCTTTTATCAATTATGCATCTTGGGTAAAGATGGGGCCTCTGACCTTCACTGCCTTTATCTGAAGATACGATGATAATGCACTCCTCTAGTCACCTTAGAAATTCATGGAAGCAAAGATTTTTTTGTACTCAGGCACTGAGCTTACAGCCAGTGAGGGCATCATCTGCTCATGAGGACAGAAGGGAAATCAGACACTAACTGAAGGATGATCACATGCTAAGGTCGTTGTGGAAAAGTTGTTACAATGAAGGCTTCTCCAGTTAAGTGGCATGGTCAACAGGAACTAAATAGTAGAAAGCACTGCAGACAGGAAATAGCAGCTGTGAAAGCCACTCTCAACTTGGTCTCTATCCTCAGAATCACCAAAGGTGGAGAGTGGTGGATTCTCAGTCAAGCAGACAGAGATTAAAGCAGATAATTTAAATTCTGGAGTGCTGAGACACAACATACAGGATATAATGAGACCCTGGCCAATCCATTTGTCTCTCTCTATTTCATCCCACTTTAGTGATGTGGCAAGAATGCATGATTCTAAGGGACTATCAACACCTTATGAGGTCCATCAACACCATCCTACCTAGTCTAGGACCAGAGCCAGGCAACATAAGGAATGTAAAGATGAATAAGACCCTGGCTTCAAGGCACTTATAACCTCTCTACCAAGACAGATAGGCTTTCCAGTTCTAGTTCTTTGAAGGAGAAAGTACAGTTTCTAAGCAGGTCAGGTGCTTCCTGACCGGCCCCTGTTACTTCACTGGCCCCCATCACCATCAGCACCTTCTAGAACTTCAGATTACACTTCCCCAGCTTCTGAAACTCTGCATACGGTGTGTTCTCTTTCAAGTGGGCTCCTCCTACTGCATCTAAGAATCACCCTAATTATCCAAATTTTCCCAAAGCATTAGCTAACCACGTCAAATAGTTGGTCTGACTGCCCTGGATGGCCAGTTCCTCTGTGCCCTGAAACATTTCTCACATGACTATGGTGGGGTTATTGGCATGTCTCATTCCCATTTTGGACTGGTTCCTAGAGGTTGGTAGTTCAGTTTGTCCTATTCATCTTTGTACTAACTGCCAGTACCTGAAGCAATATGACCCAGGAGGCATGTGGGAGTAGGAGGTGGGAGGAAAGGAAGGGCAGTGGGAAAGCTGGAA